CAATAAATACAATATCAAAATTAAATGCAAGGCAGCAGAAAGAAGAAAAAATCCTACGATATCTGCCCCTTTTTTTAAAATGAAAAAATAAAATAAACAAATGAACCCTTAAGTAATAAAAATAAAAATAAAACAAGTWGAAGTAGAAAAGTCATTACTCCTATTTTAATCCAGATTATTATTAAAAAAAATACTATCCTGATAAATTTTGTCTCCTGGGTAGAGTGAATTTAATTATGGTTGGATGACAAATAGAAATATATACCATTCTGACACTGTATTACATTGTACACAGTCCATCAAAGCGGCACGCTGTTAGAAACAAGGTTTTTTGGAGAAGTCACCTCCCAACATGCCATTTTGGAAAATCTAACTGCTCACTTAGATTTTGTGTCTGAAATTTACTTTTGATACTTAAGTACAAAAAATATCAGATACTTTAAGACTTTTACTCAAGTAATCTTCTCATGGAAGACTTTAACTTTTACCAAAGTGCCTTTATAATTAGATACTTGTACTTTTACTCAAGTATCACTTTGAGGTACTTTATTTGCAACACAACAATAATGGATTACACCAAACTCAGCAGATATTATAAGATTTTTATTCTTCTCTCTGCTTCCTTTCATTTCATTGTATTTGTATTTTTTATTGTATGTGAAATTTTGTTTTTTTTATGAAATGAATAAGGTTTAACAATAAACAATAAACTCAAAGAAAAAGTGTAAGGCCGGACCATCCAGCAGTGTAAGAAGAGAGGCAGGGTGATAGAAAATTGTAAGCTAATTGTAGCTAATGTTAGCTTCTTGTTGTTTAGTAGCTCACTGCTGTTGTCGAGTAGTTAAACTCGTGAAAAAAAACGTTTCGCATAAAGTTACTCTCCTCTGTGTGATGTCAGCCCCACTGTCTGTGAACCAATCAATGAGCATCAGCAGCTGACGTCAAATCGGGTCGAGCAGCCAGGCCCACATAGAACCATAGGCTAACACAAACACGCTGAACTGGCCTGGGTCGACCCAACAGATACACGAGAGACAAAAGAGTGTTTCACCTCAAGCTTCTGAGTGAGCGTGTCTTTCTGCTCCATCAGGTCGTTCATGGTTTCCAGCTCTTCTTTTAGCTTTTCCATTTCCTAGAGGGCCATAAAAAGGGGGTAAATGTTGTGCAGAGTAACAAGGAGAAGCACAAACCTTTGCAGTACTTATTCTCACACACAACAAACCTCTTCTTTATCTCGTAGCACATTCTCAAGCTCCTCTATGGTTTGGTTTAGTTCAGTCTTCTGGGATTTAATCACTGGGGTTTGGTTACTCTGGCACTCGAGCTCTGTCACCTGTAAGAACGAGATTGGCATGATTTAGTCACCATTCCTTTTCTTTTCATCCCGACTTCACAGCGTCCCTTCTACATGAGTGCTCCCGTTTCATCAGTTTAATCACACATAAATWAAAAAAAACAAGCTCTCCTTCGCACTCCCTCCGCTCACCCGTTTATGTAGTCTCTCTGCCTCCTCTTGGTAGGCAGCCAGTTGCTGCTTCCACTGTTTGACGTTGGCTGTGGATTCCAGCAGAGCTGCTGTTAGCTTGGCATTGTTCCCCTTTAGCGCCTCCAGCTCGGCCTCCCAGTGTTTTGTCATTGCCGGGCTGCAGAGCACAGGAATATAAGGTGCACGTTGTCAAACCTGACATGAGTAAGAACTCRTGCTGGTGGACGCTGCTGAAGGATGCCACTCTGACCGTTTTTATGTTTCAGTTTTTGCTTATAGATCAGTTTGTCCACACAATAGGCTACAGATTAAAACCTGTCTGATGGTCAACACAAAACAACATCAACAGTGCATTTCAGTTTCATTTTTACTTCCCCACTTTTCACAAAATAATTAATTTGACTCATTACAATTAGTAGTAAATTGGTTTTAAAATAACCAGAACACAGCAGAAGACAGGAGATACTGATGCTGGAGGTCAGCAGCTGTCGGTTTGATGAACTGCAATCAAGGGTTAAATGCTCCATTRTTTACATTACAATACCCAGAGATTTTTACAAGCAAAATATGATTTGTTTCTTCTCGTTTGAACTATTGCAACAGTTTATTCACATGTTTAAACAAGAAGGTTGAACAACAAGGTTGTCCAGAACTCGGCTACAAAATCGCTAACTCACATGAACAAACACGTCACACCAGCTCACACTTAGCTTCTCTTCACTGGTTCCCAGTTCATTTTAGAATGCATTTTAAAATTCTGGGTTTAACTTTTAGAGCCTTATAMGAACGAGCTCACTCTTATATCTCAGATTCGACCCAGTTTCACAGCTTTGATGCTTGTGAAAATATCTGAAGACTTTCTTTTACAAACAGGTTTTTAGCAGTTTTAATATCACAAGTTGTTGGAGCTTTTCCATGTGTATTCTGCCTGTGCTTACTTGTGCTTTAAATGAATGTGATGTTTTAAATTTTTTCTTGCATTTTGTGATTTTATATCTAYGAAAGGTGCTAAATACTTTCCTTAAAATATGATACAATATAAAAAGTGTCCAACTCAAGGCCTGCGGGCCAAATCTGGCCATCGTTAACATTTTTTTCTGGCCCCAAAAGGTAATAATTTAAATGTTAAATAGTTTTTTTTAAGGTCACTGTTTCAGTGCATTCTTCTCAAAATGACAGCTGGTCAACTAACAAGCCAAGATAACAAGGTTTGAAATTTTCAGTAACTGATTTTGGTGTGGAAAGAGCAACAGAGAATCAACTTTAATTTTCTTTTTCTGTATTCTCTTATTTTAAAGTCAAATAATTGGATTTTTAATGAGGCTTTTCTTTTTTTAATTGCTTTGCTGGATTGTGATAAAATG